ACACAGAGGAAATAAGTTTGCATTAGAAACATGTTTTCTGCAATAACACAATAATTGATTAATATTGGGTCATGCATTACAGTCTTCACAGTGCTTTAATAACAAACAACTATACACATGCCATATTTAATATTGCAGCTTGTTTAAATATGAATACAGTGGCAGCTACAGGTGAGGAGACAGACAAGGCTTCCTCTTGCTCAGCCCTTCTACCAAATATTTTGTGTCTATGAAGGAAATATCAGGAACACCATCTCGTGCAAGGTGAGGCTGAGTAATAGGAAACATGAACATACATAGACGACTATTGTCTCTGTGTCAATTCCCACAAACATACCTGTAATAGCATATAACTGAGCCGAAAAAGGTGTTTTTAAAATCTGATAAGTCTAAAAAACTGACATCTTCATCATGACTTGAACTAGTTCGTAGAGTCGTAAGTTCACCATTTCTTTTGGTGGAATAAAAGTATGCGTGTGGTGCGGTTTTCTGTCTTTCTGATTGCATCTTTGTGTGTGTGAAAGTGCACATGACTTGCATCACCTTGCCATTGTTGATGTGGATCATTTTCTCCTGCAGCAGCTGTGCCAGCTGACAGAGGATAACACCATTATCCAACCTCTCCATCAGACCATCTGCTGTGAGGTCCACACCTGAGGATCCACACACAAACATTGAATTATTTACAGTAATAATTCATAGTTTGTACTCAAGGCTCATTGTTTTTCTTGTTGCCAATTGTCACAGAAAGACAAGACTTTATATTACTTGAGTGCACACTACCTAACATATTTAATATTTATATGTATATTTATTTATTTAAATACATATTAGCTCAAGCGCATCAAAAATATGTTGTACTTCTTTCAGCAAGAGAAAACACTGTCCACTACAGTTTTTAGTAGGCGGGATCTTCTAAACTTGAGGAAAGACAGAAGAAATGTAAAACAAAAAGTAGGTGAAAATGTGAATGAGCTGAAAAAGAATTAGCCTTATTACTGCATTAATTTATCCAATGGCAGCACATTGGTTGATGAACTGGTAAACCTTCCTAAATACACATATAATCTACAGGCATATTGCAGTGTTCATCTGTTACAATATAATCCTGTTGCATAGTAAAGCTTAATATCACGAGAAAGACAATTGTTTACTGTTTAAATTTCTTTCTGGTTTCTGGATTTACAAAATACCAAAAGTATGACTTTAACATATCAGTCCAAACACATTTTCATTTTTTGTAGCAGCAGCAGTCAGAAACTCATCCTGTTGAAGTCTTGTCATCTTCCAGACACCCTCCAACAGGTTGTGACATGTGCAGACCCTTTATGTTTTCCCCCACAATGCAGTAAAGTGGGATGAAACATCCCTTTCCCTGGAGTCCCAGCCACAGCTCCCCTCTCTGAGAGGTATTTCAAGGATTTGGCATAATAAGTAGGTTAATGCCTTTGTGTTTAATGTGACTGCAGCCTTTTTACCTTTTCTTCAAAGTAAAAGCCCCAATTCCAAACTCACGGGTCATTCATCTGTAGATAACTCTGATAACCTAAAGTGATTTTGATCTTGTTAATATTCATTAAATTATGTTTGAACTGTCTTTTAATTCAGCCCAAAACACCAGTGGGTATTTTGTAAAAGAAAAATCATGTTTCCATTTTCAGTTTTACAGACTTTTACAATAAAGTAACTTCCTGAATTCGTAGTGTAGTTAACATTAGTGTGGCATAAGGATCAATGGAGGAAAAGTGTCTCACCCAAAAGCGTGTTGAGCCAGAAAGCCAGGTCTTCTTTCATGGGCAGCAGGCTGGCATCATGGCGGTAAGGCAGCCACTGGTTGTACTCCTGAGGACTGGTGAGGCCAGGCCCAGAGTGTCTGTACTTTTGTCCAAGAAGACAGTTCATCCCCAAACCAGTCAGGTGCCTCGGGCTCAGGGGACTGTCAAGGCTGGTGTTCATCGTTCCCACTTCACTGTCCATGCTTCAGCTCCAATCGGTCTTTGACGGACCCTGGTGGACCAAATAACAGGTTATACATACATTTTATATTGGTCTTAACCTCGTTCAGGACTGTCTCAATACTGTGAGGGAGACAGTTCAAGATGGCTCCATAGAAAAGCTAATTGAAGCACCAGATGTACATTTGCCAAAACTTAATCTCTAGTAAAACTGAACTGAAAAGAAAAGACTGAAAATACTTTATAAGTATTAGTTAAAAGTACGATGCCACGCTAAAAAACTTAAACAAGCGACACAAAGGCTTATCACATGTATTACTATTCAAGCATGAACACTAATTGGTTTGATAAATGTATATCTAGATAACCACCAACATACTGTGTTACTGAGGATCAGTACTGATCAGTGTTACTGATGTGTAAACCAATGTTAGAGAAATATAATCCTTCAGCAGTAGTAGGTATTTTCTAAAGTAATTTCAGTGCAAAATTCCCTCTTTCTGTCTCAGACATGTTGCCTTGTTGAGATGTAATGGATGATTAAAATAATTCTGCACTAAAAACACTCAACAGTCTGACTATTGAAGCTTTATACTATTTGGCAAAATGTTTGGGCATGTCAATGTTGTTAGACTTGAAAATATGTGAAGCTATCCTTTAAGAAAGCAATAAATAATTAAAACATAATTGGTTTCTTAGAATAATAATGGTGAGTTCTGCAAACACAGAGCTGTCCTGCACATGTACAAAAGCAACAGTACGTTGAAACCACACTTGCTTCCATGCATAGACGTTATATTCACAACCAAACAATATAATCATTAATCAAAGGGATTAAACAGACTGACTGGAGGTTTAATAAGATGTACAGCTACAGCCCTGAGCCAGTCTCCTGGTTCCGCTACATGGCTCATTTGTCCTGTTCCCAGAGCAGCCTCCATCATAAAGCTCAGCCCCATGCAGAGACATGCTCTGACTGCCAGTAATACTCGCTGCTAATCAGCTCGAATTAAGACAACAACGCAGGCAGTGGGTCACTGGGTCTGCTGGGTAATATACAGTAGAGACAGAGGCTTGGTTTGTGCCAGATGAGTTTAAAGTTTCATTGAAAAGTAAAGTAAGTAGGAGTAAGAGTAAGCGGGCATTCAGACAGAAAACAGCCCTGCTTAAAAATAATG